GTCGTACTTTTGACCCTAAGATCTCTGAGATGGCTGGAATGCATCAAGTGCTTGAGATGGTTGAGTTTCAACAGTGAGGACACCTATTCAAGGTGGATGTTCCCAAGGTATATGAGGAAGAGGTTCAAAGTTTCTATGCAGACCTCTTTACCATTGAATTTAATCATATCTGTGTACTGATAAATGGCGTAGACATTGTTATGGACTTTGCTCTGTTAGGAGACATACTTAAGGTTCCTACTAAAGGTCTGTCTTCTGTTAGACATGCCTGTGGCTCAAACTTTAGGCATGTTATAGTTAAGGAGGGAGCAGTGCAGTGGGGGAAACAGGTGCATAAGAAAGATTTGCTTTCTATTTATCAACTGCTTTTTGAGTTGGTGAACAAGGTCCTGCTTCCTCGCGCTAAGAGGAGGTTCATCACATCCAAGGCTGATCTGTATCTGATGGAAGCGCTGGATGGTTTCCAAACTGTTAATCTGCCAGCCATAATGATGGAGCATATGCAAAATGTGGCAGCATTCAAAGACAGAAATCATGGCCTCCCCTATGGATTTCTCCTTACGCGTGTCTTCAAATTCTTTTAAAGTACCTTTGGGATAGCCTAAGATGAGGACCAAGAAGCAGACTATCTCTAAAACTACTCTAGAGGAATGTGAGTGTATCGACAAACTTGGAGGGGTAGGTAGCACTTCAACGATTTCCCAGCTTATAAATGCTCAAAACAGTGCTACTGAAGAGATCAGAAAGTTTAAAGTAAGGAATGCCATATTTGAGACTTAGCTCAGTCAAGCCCAAGAGGCACCAGGGTCCTCCAGTTCTTTAAGTGCAGAGGTTGCTCGTCTGAGTAAGGAGAATGTTGACCTCAGATGATAAGTTGAGAACCTCAAGAAGAAACTGCTCGCTGAGCAAATGTATGCCAATGCTAGGATAGATCTCGTTCTCAATACACTTGCTTCCTCTTCCAAGCCCTCCTCCTCTAGTGTCCCCTAGGCATATCTCTTAGTGACCAGTGTCCAGTTATCTCTCTTGACAGTGTTTTGATGATGTTTCGGTGGTTGGTTTTGTTTTTCCTTTTGGTTTGTGGATGGAAATCACTAGTACTGCTCCTGTGTAAACAGTCCAAATATGTTTAATGCAAACTTTCCTTCTTTTGCTGTAAATGCTTATGTATTTATGCTTCTCTTTTCTATCGTGTTGTGTGCATATAAGTGGCATGAGTTAACCAAGCTAGACTTCTTTATGCTATTTGTTTCTTTGTGTGTTTTTAATGATGCCAAAATGGGGAAAAGTAGATAAAATTGAAGGAGCTAATAAGAAAAGCAGGGACTAATTAAGGGGGAAGCACAAAGTCAGGGGGAACTTGTGAAGTTCCTGTTACTTTATCAGATTTTTGTTGCTCTAAATATGATTGTCATCTTGCTTTCCTCTTCTTTTTCTTTCCCTTCCTGAGCCGAGGGTCTATTGGAAACAGCCTCTCTACCTGCGTTAGGTAGGGGTAAGGTCTACGTACAGACTACCATCCCCAGACCCCTCCTATTGGGATCAAACTGGGTTTTTTGTTGTTGTTGTAAATATGATTGTCAATTTCTAAGTTTTTCATCATCAAAAGGGAGAAATTGATGGGTTTACAGTACCTTAGCTTTATGTTTTGTTGATCTAACAAACTTACTGTCAAAGAACCAGATAAGGAACCTGATACACTTGGTACACAACTCAATCAACGGACTCAAGCTAATGTGAGTTGCTATGACTTCAGAAGATAAAGAATCAACACATGGACCTGATCCCCTTGGGTTCCCCTAATAGCAGTATGAAGTCAACTGTCTACAGCTGGAAAGTGACTGCCCGAACTATACCCGCAAACAATACAGCACAATGCAGCAGTCACCTCTCATTGACCAACCAAGTGATTACATCATTCAAATGGTGTCATCCAAGCTGTATTAACAATAAACATTGCAACAAAACATCACTTGAACACTTAAGAATTCTTTCAAGCATTCTAAGCATCTAACAATCAAGCATTCAATTCTCAAGTGCATCAAGAACAAAGTACAACACTACTACGGACCAGTTCCTACAACAAGTCTCTTGCATGTCCTTAGTTGAGTTATAACTTTGTAATTATTCTTTATTGTAATTCCTACCGTGCTTATCTAGAGGATTTAATTAGGAATCCCTTGTAAACCATAAACCTTTAGTGTTTTTATCGTGATTATAGTTAGTCATGAGTTGAAGTCTTTGTAATATGTGTATTGCAAAGTAACTTGTAATAGGTGTATTACATGTTAGTGAGGGATTAAGAGTTTAATTCTTAGGTTGCATAGGTTGTAATCTAAAGATTGTTCATAATGAAATTGAAATCCTACCAGTGTAGGTCGTGGTTTTTAATCCCCCTGAGCAGGGATTTTTCCACGTAAACGTTCCTTGTTCCATTTACTTACTGTTGCATTAGCCTTATCTATGGAAACCTTTATAGGACCTGGTCTCTATATAGTTTGGTGGACTCATATATTCTATCAACCATTTCTTAGTTGGGGCTTTAATTTTGCTTTCTCTCTTTTACATCTTAAACTTGCTAACCAAAATAGTGTTGCTTCCTTACGTTCAGGTCTTTTGCATGTTAATTTCCATTTCAATTAGCTGACAGATTTGTCTTTAATCTTAATTTTATAACTCAAATATTTTTTTTAATAATAATTTAGTAATTTTATTAAAATATATACTCATTGATATGAGGTACACACGCAACCCGCATACTCAAATACTAGTTCTTATATAAACTAGACGAAAAAATTTCATTGACGAGTTTGTGACGAATGACGCCACGAAAATGGTATAATGTCCAATGAGTTTTATGATCCCTAATATTCCACGCATAAATGTCACGTTCTTAGTTGTTAACTAAGTACACGTGCGACACTTGACAACTCGCTCACGATCTTGCACAATTTGCTCACGTTCTTGCTATGCCAAGTCAGTCTCACTACACTCAAGATCGCTAAGAGAATGGAAGAAAGAACACAAGAGAATTGTTAAAGGAAGCTTTGTATTAGAGAGAACTTGAATTGTTTGCTTGGTGAATTACAAATGAGTGGACCCCTTTATATACTAGTCTCCTAGGGCTAGTGTGTAAATATTAATTATTATACAAGTCCTTGATATTTACAAGATAAGGGCTTTATCTAGAATTCTCTACAAGCCTAGAAGATTCCAAGAACTTTCTTAGCAAATCCATAAGGATCTAGGTTCTTCCTAAGGAAATGTCCATACCTCTCTAGAATCTTCTCACAAATGTTAGCCTTCTTCTTATGTAAGCTTCCACATGGCATTAGTTTATTCCAAATGGAACCTATGTGGCATGATGACATGGCGGGTTATCACACTCTCCCCCACCCAATATTGTGATGATCGTGGTGCAATGCTGCATAAACTCTCGGATCTTATATTTGAATTGCCACAAGTATTCATATCGTTACCACGTGGCCTCCTCCGGTGATTGCCCTTTCCAATGGATGAGGAACATAGCGGTGGATTTTTGCCCTTGTTTTCGCCTGGACTGGTAATCTATGATAGCCTCAATCTCCTGATCATGCGAGGCGGTGATAGTCATTGGCGCTCAACTTGATTGGCCCCTACTCGGATCATCCTTATCTTCATGATATGGCTTAACCATGCTGGCATGGAAGTAGATCTTAAGATACGATGGCATGTCAAGCTTGTATGAGATCTTTCCTACCTTGGCGACGATCTTAAATGGCCCCTCGTACTTGCGAATCAGATTCTGATACATGCCCCATAGTGCCTTGAACTGTCTTGGGTTAAACTTCACCATGACCATGTCCCCAACTCTATAGTCTGTGGGATGCCGCTTACGGTCCGCAAACTTCTTCATCTTCTTAGCTACCTTATCCAAGTAGCACTTAGCAGTGTCGATCTCCTCCTCCCATCCTTTGGCCATATGATAAGCCCCCAAACTCTTTCCCTCGAACGAGGCTGGTAATGAATGTAGAGTTTGTGGTTGTTGGCCTATGGCTAGCTCAAATGGTGTCCGCCCCGTGGACTTACTCCGATGCAAGTTATAAGAGAATTGGGCGATGTCTAGGAGCCTTGCCAAATCTTTCTGGTGTGCGCTTACATAATGACTCAAGTAGCATTCTAGTAAGGCATTGACCCGTTCCGTTTGTCCATCCGTTTGTGGGTGGAAACTAGTAGAAAAGTGCAGTTCCATGTCAAGTATGTCGAACAACTCTCTCCAAATGTTTCCAGTAAAGCGGGGGTCTCGATCACTGATGATATGCCTTGGTAAGCCCCAATACTTTACCACGTTCTTAAATAATAGCTTGGCGGCTTCCTTAGTTGTGCAACCTGGTGAGGCGGGCATGAAGGTGGCATATTTGGAAAATATATCCACGACCACTATAATAGTACCATAACCGTCAGACTTCGGTAGGCAAGTGATAAAGTCCATAGTCTCATGGACGCTCTGCAACTGGTAGTGACTCCAAAATTCCTTCGGGTTGTTGTTGTTCAACCTTGTCATGTTGACAGACAAGACAAGTCCGCACATAGCACTCTATGTTTTCTCGCATGCGTGGCCAATAGTAGACTAACTCAACCAAGGCCCTAGTGCGATGTTGACCTGGATGACCAGCCCACGTTGTGTCATGACTCTCCCTTATGATCTGTCCTCTAATATCTCCAAACCTCGGCACATAGACCCGCCAACCTGTGGTAAGTAGTAGGCCATCTTCTATCCAAAACCGTCTCGTCTTGCCTTTGTTGGCTAACTCGATAAGTTGTTTGGCTGTTGGATCATGCTGCATGCCTTCTTTTATAGCCTCCCGAATGTCTCATCTCATGGAAGTTATTGCAGCAAGCTCGACTTTCCGGCTCAAGGCATCGGCTACAACATTACCATTTCCTGGCTTATACTCTAGTGCATAATCAAATTCGGCTAAGAAATTCTGCCACCTAGCCTGCTTTGGTGTGATCTTATTCTATGTCTGAAAGTAGTTAGTAGCCACATTATCAGTCTTGACCACGAACCTCAACCCTAGAAGATAATGTCTCCATGTACGAAGGCAATGCACAATGGCAGTAATTTCCTTCTTTTGCACCGTGTAATGCTGCTTCGTCTCATTTAACTTACGACTCTCAAATGCTATGGGATGCTTATCCTGCATCAGGACACCCCCAATGGCGAAGTCTGAGGCATCTGTGTGAACCTCAAATGTCTTGGCAAAGTCAGGTAATGCCAAGACTGGCTCCTCTGTTACAGCTGCCTTAAGGCATTCAAACGCCTTTTGACAATGCTCCGTCCAAACCCATGGCTTGTTCTTCTTTAGCAACTCAGTCAATGGTACGGCCTTTGCTGAGTATCCACTGATGAACCAGCGATAGTAGTTAATAAGGCCAAGGAAGGATCTCAACTCAGTTACCTTTATGGGTGCCTCCCACTCCTAGATAGCATGTACCTTAGCCTCGTCTATGCATAGCTCGCTATTGCTAATGACATGGCCCAAGAAGTGCACATTTGATTGTGCAAACTCGTACTTCTCTCTCTTGATGTATAGCTCGTTCTCCCACAAGACTTGGAAAACCTTCCTTAAGTGCTCCATGTGTTCCTCCAAGGTGTTGTTGTAGATGACTATGTCATCTAGATATACTACCATGAACTGATCAAGGTAGGGATGAAAAAGCTTGCTCATAAGGGTGCAAAATGTGGCCGACGTATTGGTTAAGCCGAATGGCATCACCAACCACTCAAAGCCTCCATATCTCGTTACACATTCTGTCTTTGGCTCATCACCTTCCGCAATGAGAACCTGGTAGTAGCCCTTTCGAAGATCCACCTTGGTAAAGTACTTGGCTTGCCTAAGTCTATCGAACAAATCAGCAATGAGCGGGATCGGGTACTTATTCTTCACTCTAACCTTATTAATTGCTCGGTAGTCTATGCACAGGCACAGCGATCCATCCTTCTTCTTCTGGAACAATACTGGTGCGCCGAAAGGTGCCTTTGATGGGCGAATGTAACCAGCATCTAGCAATTCTTTAAATTGTTTCTTGAGCTCCTCCAGCTCGGGCGGTGCCATACTATATGGGGCAAATGCGGGAGGCTTAGCCCCTGGCTCCAACTCAATCTTGTGATCCACCTATTGCCTTGGCGGTAAGTGCTTAGTTAACTCCTCGGGAATGACATCTTTATTCTCCTCAAGCAACTTCTCTATTCAAGGTGGCCCTGTCTCTTGAAAATTCTTGTCTTCCTCTAGACTTGCAATGGTTGCCACGAATGTCAGCTCCCCCTGCTTGATCCCCTTGACAACCTGCATAGCTGAGAGTTGTGCTTGGATCTGTCCGTGTGGCATAGTTACTGTAGGTACCATGCAAGCTCCTTCTCACTCCATAACCAAGAGACGTCGGAGGTAGGGGTCGATTAAAGTATGACAATGTCTAAAGAACTCTTGCCTCAGTATGATGTCAAAGATATCCATAGCGGTTACGGTAAAGTTTGTCATACCTTTCCAAGTTCCCAATTTGACACCAACTCCATTAGCTACCCCACGAGCATTATGTATCTCCGCATTCACGGTCTTGACGCGAGAGTTGGTTGGTGCAAGCTTCAATTCTAGTCTCTTTGCGGCAGCCTCAGTCACAAAATTATGAGTTGCTCCAGTATCCACCATTGCACGAGCAGGCTTGTTGTTGATGGTGAGATCCATGTACTGATTGCCATTCTCGGTAGGTTGGATAGCTTGCTTCGTGACAGCACCGCATAATCCGATCATACCCAACTGTGCAGTTCCCTGACTCTCTCCTTGTGGCTGCTCCCTCCGCTCACATACCATGGCACTGAGGCTCTTGAGGTCAGTACAATTCCTGAAGCCATGTGGCCCTCCGCATATATAGCATCCCGTCTTCTCGACCTGTGCCTTGTTCTCGGCGTAGCCCTGACAGCCACTCGACTTTTTGAAATCTTGAGTCTTGGAGTATTGTTGTTGTATCTCATTGCCTTTGCCACGGTTTCCCCCACCTTTGACATTGCTAACCTTTGACTCCTTGTCATTGCCTTTGTCGTGCTTGTCATGCCTGAAATACATCAATGATTCAACCTCCACTATGGCTTGGTCTATATCAGTGACTTGTCGACGTTGCAACTCCTGCTTAGCCCAATTTTGTAACCCGTCCATGAAGTGGAATAACAAGTCATCATTGGTCAGGTTGGGGATTTGAAGCATAAGGGTAGTGAACTCCTTGACATACACCACTACAAAAAGGACCTTTAGCGGCAATAAAAAATAGCATTGGCGGCAATAACAATAGCCGTTATATCATTTACCGGCAATTGATCTTTAGCCGGTGATGCCGGGGTCGGTAAAGCCTTTAGCGGCATTTCTGCCAAAAGCTAGTAAAAGGTATGATTTATTGCCGTTAAAACTCATATTCTTTAACGACAATTGTTTGCGGCAATTATTATGGCTGCTAAACCCATTCTAAAAACGACTAATAATGCTCCTTTAACATCCATTTTTATAGCCGCTAAATTCAAAATATTTGTCGCTAAAAGTCCATACCTTTAGCGGTAATTGTTTTGTGGCAATTAAATTGGCAACAATATCTCTTCTAAAAATATATTAGTATGCCCCTTTAGCGTCCATTTTAATGAATAGCAAAGTCAATTAAATTGCCACTAAAAATCATCTTTAATAGCAATATAAAGGTACAATATCCCTGTATAAACGTCTTAATCCTGTTAAATTGGCACTAAAATTCACAAGTTATAACAGTAAGTTTAGCCACCATTAATAATAGCTACTACATTCGACCAAAAAATAATGCAAATAACAAAACATATTGATATTAATTCATAAAACTATAGTATATCTCGTTAAATTTTAACGAACAAAAAGTACTAATCCAAAATATTAATATCATAAAACCTTAAAATATAACTCATATTGTTTGAAGTAAATAGCTAATGTCACTATATAACTAATCTTAACGAATAACAATCTTCAAAATAATCTCTGAAACTCTTCCTCATATTGAAATCTTCCACCCGCTAAATTATAGAACATCAGACTGTTTGACCTGAAATTATAAAATAACTATGTCAATAGGAACTAAATGTTGCCAAACACCAAAGCTGATAATAGTTTGCGAGGTTATGAAACTAAAAGTCCATAACCAGAAAGGGACACAAACAAATATCTTTTAGTAAAGTAGGCCCACGAACCTTTCTTGGCTCCAAATTACCTAGAATAGAAGATTCAAAGGTCATCAAATGGCAAAAACTTATATGGTTAAATTTGTTCCAAAGAACCTCTGACCAGTGGCAATTTAGTGAGGGACAACCATGCTCGACCAAATGTTTCAAAGAAAAATCTGGTGGAGGAGCTTACAGGCAAACATGCTCACAGCTCTAATGTTTCAACACTGAGTGTGTGCATAAAATATAAGGAACTGTGGCATATTATGTTGCATTCTCAGTGTTCCAGTCCTATATGGAGCGTAAGGAACTCAGCTGTGATACAAAACAATCAAGCATGCAGGAAGAACAACAATTGTGGTGTCCAAGCTAGCCTACGCGCATCTTAACTATTACACCAAATTCCTGCTACCTCCCCCTAAAATAGGTAGTAGGTAACTCTATCCACCAAGGCTTAGGCAGATATAAAAAAATCACCTAGCGTTTTTGTCTCTACTAGGATTTGAACCTTGGTCTCTCATGGTTTTCACTCACTTCATCGACACTAGACCACGCCCTTGGGTGCTTCCATTAACATTTCTTTAAGCTCAAGAAAAGAGAATATCAGTAGCCTGCCACAGAAAGTGGAAGTGTGCCATTGCTTAAGTTACACAAAATTCAGTTTCTATGAGAAAGGTGATCAGACACACTTATCCAGATGGCAGGAAGCCAAAAAGAGGGCAAGTCTGAGCAGCTCAAACAAAGAAACTGGTTTCAAACGACCATCATCTGAAGTAGTTATAATATCACAAGGAAGCACTGCTGCTGTTTCTTCAAGAAATGAAAAATATGTTGCACAAGGAAACAAAAAGGGGCAATGTTGGGGTAACTTACTTCAATGTTTAAGAGGGCATTCAGACCATCTGCTATAGATCCCAACAAGCATTCATCCTGAGCACAAGAAGCCATTCATAACATAAGCAATGTGTAGAATTAGTTCCAAATATAACATGATACAACTTAGAAGAAAAGCTAGGAAGAATATATTATAAGTGTGCTAGCTCGCGCATAAGCTGTTTTCTTCAGCAATACATAAAGCAACAACAACAACAACAACAACCCAGTATAATCTCACTTAGGGGGGTCTGGGGAGGGTAGTGTGTACGCAGACCTTACCCCTACCTTGGGGTAGAGAGGTTGTTTCCAAATAGAACCCCGCCATCCTTCCCTCCAAGAACTTCTCACCTTGCTCTTGGGGAGACTCGAACTCACAACCTATTGGTTGGAAGTGGAGGTTGCTTACCATCAGAGCAACCCCTCTTGTCACTTGCAAAGATCAAACAAATACAAAGAAATGGCATCCAACATCCCAAGGACAATGGTCGAATGCAGCACAAACCTGTGATTTGATATTTGCATCCAGTACTTTAAGTCCAGACTCAAGAGACCCAGCAATAAATATAAAGCTACTTGAGTCCAAGTTTAGTATCAAATGGATCTGGTTTTTCATCATGATTTCCAGGAATGTGAAGTAAGCTCCTGAAAGCTGTAGGATAAGACAATTGGAAGTAGTTATATTGTTAAAATGAAATGCAGAACAATGAGATAATTTACAGAGGGAAAAAGAATATATACCCCTCAAAATTCGTGTAAGAGGTATGTCCACTGCTGAGGACACAATCAGGGATAAAACCACTTTTAAAGTTAAACAGCTTAAGCAAATTAGCTCAATTTGACACCACTGCTCATTGGAAGAATGTTGAGGCTCTAATTTTTAAGAAGCAGCAACACCGCTGATTGAACAGATAAATTTTTGCCAGAATAACAATGAGAAGGTCCACTTTAAAAATAAGTGGTCAGTAGTTTAAAATATTTAACTCGATCATACCAATCAAAAGAAAATGTAAGCTATAGACAAAGACACAGAAAAAAATGAAAAAGGAACTGAAAAGAAAACCAAAATGATCAACTTCTTCTCTGCATCTGCTCCCCACATACACAAGACTCAAAGACGGCTTAAATATACTCCAAGCAAACACTAAAGGCATACAAATGGTGCTCCAAACACATAAAGAACTACAAGTGGCTGCTACCAAATCCATATTTAAAGATGTATATCCTGATAAAATAAGTTTAATCAAGATACTTCTGCAGTTTTCATATGCTAGCATCATAGTCAGAACCAAATTGCCTAAATGGTAGTGCAAACATAATGTTCAATAGATAACAGGAGTTCCCACCAGGATGTTGACCTCTCAAATGTCTCAGTAGTCTATATATTTTCCCGTGTTGTAATTGTGTCACTTATAAGTATGTTTTCTTAGCTGAGCGAATGTAGACAACTCACAATAAACCATACATTACATCTGCAACAAGCACATAGAAACTATGGGCTCAAACTTGGTGTGTATGTGAATTGTGATGCTCCCATTCTTTGTTGGGAGTACACTCCAAAATAAGTAGAGTGCTGGCAACAAATTTTGATGTTTGTTGGGAAGTTTATATGTTCCAAAATCACATAAAATATCTTTGCTCAGAGCATAAAGCAGCAGAAGGTTTTATGTTCAGAAACAAAATCAGTCTGAACATACTATTTTGTTAACATCATATAGTAAGAGGAGTTAATTCTCATGTGATAAGCATCTAAGAAATAAAATAACCAGCGATATTTTTGAATAAATCAGCTCTTAATATAATACCTTTCTATATGCGAGTATATCAGCCAAAGGAATAGATAGAGCCATCCTCATAGAAATGTCAAAAGCATCTGCTAGCGCTCTGTCCCCATAAATCTCAAACACCCCAAAGTTGACATAGTTACCAGCAATACATAAAGTGTATAAGGAAAAAGGACTAAGTTTGACAAACATATCCCATTCATAGAAATAGTTAATTAATCCAAGTGCTTTGAGTTGTCCAGAGAGTTAATTTGATGGTTTAGATCAAGTTCAGAGAGTCGATTCAGAAAGAAATTATCACATTGTTGTTAACTTGCAATTGTAATAGACTATCCAACTTTTTGGAGTTTGTTCAGACAGAGGATTTCGTAAAGAAAGGATCACATTGTTGTTTCAGGATCACATTGTCGTTTCAACTTGAATTGATCAATGGATTTATAGTCTTGGAAGTTGTTCACATAATGATTAGAACATTATCACTCAAAGAAGTGATAGGAAGAGTACATGAAACCAATCCCGTACCAGGTAGCATGGCGTTCCACAGATGAGAAACCTCATGTTCACATCATCATCATAGATCTTTATGGCAGGAAGACTATCGGAGTTGCTTTCTTCATCATCTTCAGGACCTGCCTCAGGCGGAGGGACATTGATTTTGGGAGGATCACCAAGCAGGTGAGGACCATTTTGACTGTATTGACCACCAAGAAAAAAAACAAGGAAAATAATAGTGCAATTAAAATTTCCAATAAAAGCAAAAAGGGGATGAAATTTGACTAACCATTTTGACTGTATTGGGGGAATTGGAAGAGATTGAAGGGTTAAAGCTCAAGGCTCAAGAACGCGGTGTTCTGTCAATGTAGAGCTAAAGGAGCGACATATCCATTTGAAAATCCATCAAGAAGCTGCAAGATTAGGTATGTATAAATGATCAATGATAATGAAAGAGTTATGGAGCAACAAAAAAAGAGAAAACAAATTGGATATTAAGGGGAGATTAAATTCAATGACTGCAAACTAAATCAACAAATTAATGAAAGCACACTGAACATTCCATTTTTATACTTATTTTTACACTTAAACAAACACATGTAACCAGTATAAAATTTGAATATACAGAAATGTTTCAATGTGCTACTTGAATGTAAACTCCAAATGAGTAAGGGAAGAAGCTTCCAATCATCAACAATATGCCAAGAAGAAAACCTCTTGTCCTTTGTGTTAAGCTGGAGCTGACACTTGGAAATTTGTGAAAGTATGTGTCACTTTCATGTGACATCAATGCTAAGATGTCCTTTTGGCCATAGAAAGAAGGCCCATCTATTGGTTAGATTTACCAAAGTATACAAGGACATTTGTTGTAAAAAAGTACAAAAGCAGGGCAAAATGAGACTTGCAAAAAGTACTGTTAAGTCTTTCTTTCTCAGTTACCAGTACAATGAAGCGATGGGAATAAAGGAAATAGTCTTGGCTTTTTAGTGAACAAAGCAGAAGGTCAACTATTTCGACCACAGAATACAATACAGTTTACCAGAAAGAATTAAAAATTCTAGAAGTACCCTTGAAATAGATGTTAATTTCAGGAAACACACACGACGACCATGAGGTGCTTTGCTTTCCTTTACGTATAGTAGTAATGTAAGACTCTAAAGAAGGCAAAAGAGACCTTGCAACATTCAAGTAAAATAGAAGGTCAAGAATGCCAGAAGAATCAATATGAAAAGCTCTGTGAAGCCTGACAATAAGCCACCATAAACCTAGACAAGAGTGCAGTGTAAATCTTGGATTGGAAAGGATTAAAATGGAAAATTTGACAATGATCAAAGCAGCAGCAAGAAATAGCTTAATGGGAATGTACAAATCTAGATAGTTCTGTAAAATGGTTGCATAGCCACATTATTGAAGTAACTGTTAGGACATCTGTTATTCTCTAGCATAGAGAACTAGGCACCAAGAGCAATGAAAAAATAGGCAGTCCAGAATAATGCATCAAATAATTGTACAACGTGAGTCAACTGCAAGAATACCTCTGTGCCACACATAAGAATGCCTGCCGAAAATGGGATGCTGCATAGCAGCAAAATGCGCTCTTCCAGTACATCACATACAGAACACCCTACAAATATGAACATATCGGCGGAACCAAAAGAACCATCCATAAAGTTTAAATCAGGAGATTTGACCAGATCATCAGATGATTGAATTGAACGAATCTGAGGGTACCAAATGCCAATAAGACAACCAGAAATTCAACTCGCACTTAGTAAATGTTCCCATTAGGCCATTACACCAACCCCTTCCATTAACATTACACGGTATAGCAATTCTTAGTCATACTTATCTCACCTTATTGGAGATTGGTCTTTAATTTACATGCTGAGTAAATCATAAACCACGAAAAGACTAAATGCTGATCGGGTAAACTCGCACCTTAACAATTCTCCACTCAACCCAATCAACTACGTCTTAATCCTAAATTGCTGGAGTGGGCTATGAGTTCCTTATATTCCACCAAAAATCCAGACAAATTTGGTAAATTAGACCTTCGGCTTTCTTTTAATCAAAGAAAACTGGACCACAAGCAAAAACGAAATGCAGTTCCAATCATGCTAAGGTAATCTGTTTAATCATGAGATTCAATTAAGCATATATTTCTAATCAGCCAATGCATAATATACAGATCTGGAAAATTCTGGTTCGCCAACAACAACACATAAAAAGGAAATTCTCAATATTTACGTACAATGAATAGAAGAAATCTGTAAACAATTCATAAATTATTATGTGTCAGTGAGTAGAATAAATAATTGAAACGAAGAAAAATGAACTTACACCAGGGAACACCGAGAGATCCGAAGTCTGTTTCAAGGGCTTGGAAGCCAAAAAAATCGCAAGCGAGAAATGTGATCGGAAGAGGAAGCGGAGATACAAACAAGGTCACGCGAGTGGTAAGCGAAAGGAGTGAGGACCACCAGCACGAGTCCTATAAGGAGGAATGGCCAGATATGACCGGTTCGAGTCATGTAATTGGTGAATCTTATCGCCGGAGACAAGTGCTTCCGTGTAATCGATTCGTCTCCGTCTCCGTCTCCGTCTCCGTCGTCGGTAACCGACGATAAGATAGATGAAAGACCCTTTTGCTTATTTCTGCTGTCTATAATTTTCTTTAAGTGAATCTATTCAATTTACATGAAAAATATTTGGAGGGAATGGGTGATTATTGTGGAAAAGAATGGGAGGGAAAGATAAACAGTGAAAATAGCTTTCAATTGAGGAACTGCAGCAGCCATTCCTTTAAACTGCCAGTAAAGAGAAATTTTTCCTGGCAATTATTGATCTGCCGCGAACATATACTGGCGCTTGACTCCGCTTTGAACTTATCCCATGTGCTAATAGTACATAGACCTTTATCCACATCGGCCATCTTACTTCTCCACTACAGCATGGGTCTCTGAGAGGTACAATACCGCAGTGTTGATTTTGGCCTCGTCGTCCCTCACTTTTCCATGCCTGAAGTAGTTCTCCAAGTGCCAAAGGAAGTTTTTCACTTCTTGTGCATCACGAACACCTTTGAGCACCGGGGGTTTGGGAGCCTCGATCTTGGCCTCCCTCGTCACCTTAACATTGCTGGTTACCTCGGCCACGCCAGCATTGACATGCTCCTCGAGTGACTCTATCTTTGCCTTCATAGCATCGATAGTACTCAAAGCCTCCATGAGTCTGCACTCTAAGACAGTGATGGTATGTCTTAGTTCCATCTCAGTTTGTGTACGTCCCTCCAAGTCATTTCAGATACTCTCAATCTCTTCAAGAGTATGCCCCTCAAGAACGTTAAGGGTGCCTTCCACCTTCCCCAAGCATTGGCCAAAGATCTCCACGGCGTCCATCCCCGCATTCATCTTCATCACCCACTCTTTACCGAGCGAGACGTCCTCTGGAAGGACCTCCACTTCTTCCTCGCTCGCCTCAGTGGCAGATGGTTCTTGGGATGTAAGCCCTTCGTTTGACACAACCTCAGGTGGCACCTCCTGGCTCTTGTTGGTGGCATTCCTATTTTTACTACGGCCGCTCTTGCCAGCAGCATCCTGGATGATGTTGGCAGCGTTAATTTCTCCATCGTTCGCCATTCCCTTAGTTGAAACCTTCGCTATGATACCACGTTGTAACGTCCTTAGTTGTTAACTTAGTACACGTGCGACACTTGACAACTCGCTCACGATCTTGCACAACTTGTTCACGTTCTTGCTATGCCAAGTCAGCCTCACTACACTCAAGATCGCTAAGAGAATGGAAGAAATAACACAAGAGAATTGTTAAAGGAAGCTTTGTATTAGAGAGAACTTGAATCGTTTGCTTGGTGAATTACAAATGAGTGGCTCCCTTTATATACTAGTCTCCTAGGGCTAGTGTGTAAATATTAATTATTATACAAGTCCTTGATATTTACAAGATAAGGGCTTTCTCTAGAATTTTCTACAAGCCTAGAAGATTCCAAGAACTTTCTTAGCAAATTCATAAGGATCTAGGTTCTTCCTAAGGAAATGTTCATACCTCTCTAGAATCTTCTCACAAATGCTAGCCTTCTTTTTACGTAAGCTTCCACATGGCATTAATATATGCAAAATGGCGCCTATGTGGCATGATGACATGGCGGGTCATCATATAAAGCCTCAATTCGTTGGTCCATTCCCGTAAAATTTAATCCCGACTCCTTTTTTTCTCTTTACTTTTTGGACGGCAAGAATAGGAGCCTTGGCGCAATTGGTAAAGTTGTTATCACGTGACTAAAAGGTCATGGGTTTGAGTCGTGGAAACAGTCTCTTGCAAAAATACAGGATAAGGCTGCGGACAATAGACTATTGTGGTCCGGCTCTTCTACGGAACCCACGCATAATGAAAGTTTAGTGGACCGGAATGCCCCTTTTGTTTTTGGACATCAGAAGGAAAAACAAAGTAGAAAGAGCAAACATTCTCTCCAGGTGTGAAGGAATGGCATGGTTAATTATTATCTTTTTAATTACTTGAATGATGTCTTTATATTTGAATTATCATATAAAACTAAAATAATTACATGTATAGTATTAATATTTTGATGTAACTGTATTTATATTCATTCAAACTTTTTTGTAATTTTTTGGTTTTGTTGTAAATTTATAATTCTATAAAATGAAGACAATCTTAGTTAAAGTCTTTCATATTAAGTAGGATATAGAACCATTTATATATTTAGTTAATACTAATTTCGAAGTAAATTCTTGATGTATCTTTAATTTCTTTTTTGTAATTGGACACTTGTAAGCAAATTGGAAAATATTAGCGAGACACACATTGTTCCTTCAACAAAGCTTTTCTCAAATAAGATGATCAAACATAAATTACTACTCTCCCCAAATACTTTTCTCACAATCTATTTTAGTAAGAGCATTTATCAACATAAGTAAAATTTTAGAAGTTTGGCGTAATGAGCGTAGTTTATACCGTTGGAATTCATTATATACTCTCTTTCCTTAGATGTTATCCCCTCCTTGTTTTTTGGTCTAATGTTTAATATTTGGAATTTACTGACCCGACTAATTTAGATTTGTGCCTCATAAGACCAAATAAAATGAATAACGTTTGGAATATTAACACTGGATAACAACATGCAAGAGGAATTGGCAAATTATTGGCCATAAATTATTTTGATAAAGACAGCTCCAAAAAATCTGCATTATATAGCTAAATTTAAAAATACCTACTTACTATTTATTCTCTCTCTCACCTATGTATCTTTTTCTTTTCTCTCTCCCTTTCTCTCCTTATATTTCGTCTTCTATCTCTTCTCTTTTGCTCTCATAGTTTAGCAAAATTTATGCAAAAAAAAAAATCAGTGGGATGAAAAGGTAAGATTGATCTCACATTAGAGAAAATCTCATAAGCAAAAACTAAGAGAGAAAAAATATATTTCAACTTTTTTTCTCTCTTCTTTTTTTGGTTGGATTGAACGAGTGGATGTGATTGAAATTGGTTGAAAATACCTAGACGAGGCTATATACAAAATTTGAGCAAGATTAGAAGTGATTTAGACTAGTTTCAGGTAAAACATTAGACCTTAACATCCAACTGCGACATGTATATCACATTGTATATCGTGTACATCAGTGTATATTATACACAGATTTTTACGGACGTCTGCGTATATCACTTTTGTCACGACCCAATTTCTCCCTCCATGAGTTGTTGTGACGGAACCTAGTCTCTACGACTAGGTAAGCCTAACACTTTGCGGGAAAAAAATAAAAGCATGAACATTAACTACTAATAGTAATAGATACCTATTAAGTAACTGAATGTCACTCGGCCTATACAATTATCACTTTTGAAATGTACGAAAACAATTCCCAAAACCCAAAAACCCGCAAGTCACAAGCTACTAAGAAGTCTTAACTGTTCTATACATCATTTCTAAAGAAAGAAGGAAAATAAACATAGGGAAATAGAGGAGGCCTCCAAGGATCTGCGGGAGCGGCAGATGTACCTTGAAATCTCCAATAAGAAGCAATGACTGCAACTAGTGATGAGGCTGGTAACATGAACCTGGATCTGCACACGAAAAATATCTGTAGGAAAGGGCGTGAATACACCAAAATGGTACCCAGAAAGTGTCAAGCCTAACTCGGTCGAGTAGTGATGAGATCAGGCCAGGTCCCTGCTTGTATAACTATAATGAAATAGGACAGAATGAAATATCGCAGTAGAAATAAATACGAAAATCTAACAGGAATAGAATCAATGAAAGCCAACAGCTCAGAACACAATGATAACAAAAGGGGATCTCCCTAGACACCGTCTCGTAGTCCCAAACGTAAATGTGCAAGAGGATCTCCCGGAATATAGTTCTGTAGTCCCAAATTAAATATGTATAACAGGGGAATATCCCGGAATACCGTTCAGTAGTTCAAAAGTAAATATGCAATATTGTGAGATCTCCCAGAATACCGTTACGTAGTCCCAAAGTAAATATGTATCTCAACCAATAGAAATAACAGTTACAACAAGAAACCTACAGTTTAGACTAAGTTTAGGTCAAGGAAAGCAAGTAATTTCACTAAACATGCAGCACAAATTTCAAATAGGCAGTTAAAATACATAGGCATGCTATTCTAACTAAGCAGGATAGTTACATATGCTAGTGTAGTTCAAATTAAGATAAACAGGTTATGACTTAGTGAAAATAGGGTTTTACAACAAATAGCCTGTGTACGTACTCGTCACCTCACGTACACGACACTCACATATCAAAACAATACCAAATCCTAAGGTTAGTTCCCCCACACAAGGTTAGGCAAGCCACATACCTCGAACCAAGCTCAAATCTATCCGTCACAATGCTCTTTCCACGAATATCCGGCTCCGGATGACCCAAGTCTAGCCAGATCAATTACATAACATAAATATAGCTACACGAAACTAATCTAACTAATGGAATCGAAGTTAAGGCAAGAAATTCAAAAAATCGCCCAAAAAAGCCTCCACGGTCCTACGTCTCGAAATCAGCTAAAAGTTAACAAATATGAACACCTAATCACTCACAAATTCACTCGTACCAAAATTATCCAAATATGATGTCTAAATCCCAATCAAAACCCAGAAATTCGGTTGGGAAACTTTTCCCCCATTTTCCCAACCTTACAGTCCAAATCCAAAATTAAATGGAGAAAACAACTTTAGATTAATGAAATACAACTAAAAACGAGTTAGGAATCGTTATCCCAAAACTCTCTCTGAAAATCCCTTAAAGAATCGCCAATTTCCGAGCTCCCAAGTCCAAAAATGGAGAATGAATTCAAACCCTCGATTTTACCCTTTTTTCTGCCAGTCAAACCGCACCTGCGGTCATATTTTCGCTTCTGCAGTCTCGCTTTTGTGGCTAAGATTTCGCACCTGCGGAGATTCATTCAACTCCTAGGCTCCGCACCTGTGCACTGCCCTCCGCACCTACAGACGCGCTTCTGTGCTCACTCGTCCGCTTTTGCGGAACTCAGCTTTCTTCTCCTTTCCGCTTTTGCAATCGCCCTTCCGCAGATGCGACTCCGGTTTTGCGACTTGTGTATCGCACCCGCGACCACTGACTCTCATGACCAAAAGCGCACCTGTGCCTTTACTCCATATGTGCGAGTCCGCACCTACGGGCTCCCCTCTGCAGGTGCGAAAACTCCAGAACAAGAAAAAACTCAAAAATTGCATAAGACAAAATTTCAACTCGTTGAGCTTCCTAAACACACCCGAGGCCCCTGGAACCTCAACCAAATATACCAACCAATCCTAAAACACCATACAAACTTAGTCGGGCCATCAAATCACATTAAACAATGCTAAAAACACAAATCATCCCCGATTCAAACTTAAAGAACTTAGAAATCTACAAATTCAACAACCGATACCAAAATCTATCAAACCACGTCCGAATAATTTTGCACGCAAGTCATATTCAATATTACGAACGTACTCCAACTTCCGAAATCGGATTTCGACCCCGATATCAAAAATTTCACAACCAGTGCAAAACTCCAAACATTCGATTTTCGCCATTTCAAGCCTAAAAGAGCTACAAACCTCCAAAACACAATCCGAACACGCCAATAAGTACAAAATCACCCAACAGAGCTAACGGAAATAACGCAACTCCATTCCGGAGTCGTCTTCACACAATTCCGAC